GGTGGTGCCAGTCTCATCTTCTTAACCTTCCCATGCTCCTGCTGGGGGCTAAGGAAATGCTTATCTCCCCGAGCGCGGCCTTCATCAAACCGTTCCATCACACTAAGTGAACACACATGACACAGAAAGATGCTGCAAAGATCACTGTTTGTTGCCATTTCATTCAGATAAAGTTCTCTCCTACAGTGTCCTGTGCCTGACCTGATTTTTTCCCCCTATCTTTGCCCCCTCGCAGGGCAGAGAGATTGCTTAAACAAGCTATCTCTTCCTAAGCTGCTTTTCTCAGCAGTGGAGCACTTTCCTAAAAAGTTAATAACAAGCTCAGCTCTGTGACCTTAATTAGTTAATTAGAACCCTCTAGCCAGCTGAGCTGCTGCCTGAAACTGACCAGACCTTAATCAGTTTCACACAATGCTTTTGTTGTGAGGCACACAAACTTTGGTCTTAAATGCGCTCATTGGTTGGAAAATAAATTATTTTATTACCGTCGTATTTGCAAATGGTTGCTAATCAAGGTGGTCATTAAACGAGGAGTGGATGTAAATGGAAAAGTACCCCGCTCTTCTTCTTCAGTTACAGAGAGTAAGATGGAAAGTGAAAAGGAGTTTCTGCACTGTTGGCATGTTTTAGATCACTTGGTTCCCCACCCCCCAATTTTTTCTTCAGCTCTCATTTAGTGTGAGTGATATAATTATGGCCCAACACAAATGTGGTATTACCAAATCAAAATAAATCATATGTTACATTGCAAGCCACTTCTTTGTCTATCACCTGAATTTACAACATGCACTGTTATATATGATCTTTATTAACACTAGATAAAATAGGCCAGAAAAAGCTGTGCTTATCTTTGCCAGATCCAAATTTCATTACCTGTTAGGAATTCTCTTAGGCTTATTTGAACCAGTGTTTATTAATTGTCTATTACAATAGCTAAACTAGGAACTGAATGAAATCTATATGTAAAAAGGATCAGGCGGTCTTGCAGATGTGCTCCTGACCCTTTAACCTGGAATAACATTGCATCAGGCAGTTGAATTAGGCTTACAACACCATTTCTATCTTATCTTACAGTGGTAACCCTTCAACTCCATTTTAGTGACATTTGAGGATCTAGCAGTAGGGGAACCATTGGGTATGAGCCAGATGTGCATATAAACTCTCAGGGTATTCTGATCATTCTGAATTTGGCCCGCAGCAGTATGGCTTCATTCAAACACTAGTCGGTTCCATCACATTTTCTGAAAAAACTAAACGCATTTTTGAACATTTCATCTTTTCCTAATATGTAATTTTATATGCAGCTCTCCATAATATGTATGCAACTGTTTGCAACTTTCACAGATGTTTTCTTTCTGTACAGTCAGCAGTATTATCCTCACACTACATGCTACTCTTACAGATGACACTTGGCTGGAGATTTCTCCAGATGCTCTGGATCAGATTCTTAAGGAGACATCTGGCATGAATAAATCTGCTTCTGCTGCAGCGGAAGACCAGAACTGTGACTTGACTGAGGTTGCTGAAAGCATGAAGGCTTTTATATCCAAAGTCTCAACATACAAAGGAGCAGAAGTGCCATGGTAGGTAGTTACATAACTGATGGGGGCATGCTTCCATATAATGTAATCATTCTGTATTGGTGGATTATTAATTAAGCTTTTCAAGTAATCTTAGCAAAGGTTGAGAAAAGATTCAGGCAAATTGTATAACAAAGAATAGTGTATGTTTACTGTTGTAAGCTAATTTATCTTTTCTATATGCAAGTTTGCCCAACCCCATTGCCACGATTAATATTGAAGATTAACCCTTATTTTCTAATTGTGGCTTGTTTTGTTTTTTTTAACTTTTGTTGCAATATAAAGATATGCCAGCAGTATAGTCTGATATTTGTCTACTCAAAATGGTTGTGTCAGGAATGTGCAACTCAAAACATTCAGCAGGATATTTTTATATTTTAGCAGCTCAAGAGGGCTATATCACAAAACATTTCTTACAATTATGATTTGGGCCTTTTTTCTGCCTTTGTATGCTCCTTGCCGTCATTTCTGCTATTTAGAGGCTTCTGAATTCCTCTCCACTATATAATTTGAGCTCATCCTTTTCTTTTCCCATTATCACAGGGATGAACTTCCATCTCTATTATGCCCGTTATATTGCTTTACTCAACCATGCAAAATTGTTCCTAATTTATTTATTTATTTATTTGCATCCCTTATCTTGCACTTTTGCTTTCTCACAGGTTAGTGTGCCTTCTCTCCTTCAACTATCCCTTGGAACTTTCTGCAACCTAGGCTCAGCTGTGGATGAATGAACCTGCTTCAGTTTTTTTAACATTCACATTTTATTGGTTCCTATCCAGATGAAAGCTTTTTTTCAACTCTGAATCTCAAATAATTCCTCTGTCTCCTTAGCCCATACCTGTTCTCTTTGGACCAGCATAATGATGATAATCATCATCATTGCCTTGGGTGCAATCGCAAAACGTCTGGAGCACCACTTGAAGACCATCAACATTGACAGAATCCCCGTCAGTCCATTGCCAAAGGCAGCTTTACTTGGAACAGCTGACACCCTGCAATGATACCTCTAACACCATCAAACAACAGCATCTGCCTACCCCAGGTCCTTGCCAAATCCAGTCTAAACATCTGGCTGACTGCGCAATCAACAATAATTTATTAAATTTATATGCCATCCGATTCCCAGTGAGCCTGGGTGGTTTATAGTTGTTAAAACATTTAAAGACAAGGAATGATATAGGAAGCATAAAAACAGCACAAAACAAAAGAACAACAATGGCAAAGAACACAAACCCAGAGGGGAACAGAAAGGAAGAAAGGGGTGTCAGCTGTCCTCTCCAAAGGCCTAGGCGAAGAGCCAGGTCTTTAAGGCCCTTTGAAATACCAGCAGGGAGGGAGCTGTTCGAATCTCTGGGGGAACCTCATTCCAGAGGGCAGGCACTGCTACCGAGAAGGTGCGCTTCCGGGGTCCAGACAGATGGCATTGTTTAACTGATGGAACCCGGAGTGTGCCAACCCTGCCATATTGAACCAGCCAGGCAGATACTGTGGAAGACAGGTGGTGCCTCAAATAACCAGGCCCTATGTCTGGTTTTATTTTTTTTCTCTGTTATATTTCATCTCCATTATTTGGGCATTCATAAGCAGATTATATATGATAAATCTTTGCCTCTAGAAGTATTACTCTGTTTCAGCAGGAGGAGGAGCAAAATAAACCTTGGAGCCTTTATCTGATAAAGGTTACTTTTGCATATGAAAGCTCATGCTGCAACTCCATGCTGATTTCTTTACTTGTAATGAGCTTATCTAGACATTCAACAGAAAAGAGAGGGAATTTTTGCCAAATCCCATGCATTTGTACCACTCCCATCTGTTCCACAAAGCGGGAGAGGCAACGGGGGGAGTCCTTCTCTTCACAGAAGCTGCTGCTGATTCTAAGAAGAAAATAGTTTCCAAAGTCTTCTGCACTATATATTTACCTCAAATACCAACAACAGCATAAAATGTAATTATGAATTCTTAACTTTCAGGTCTTCTGCTGAGGCCCCTGTCAGTTTTGATGTTGACTCATTCACAGACGCTTTGGATAAAATACTGGGTGAGTTGCCTGGATGAGGCAAGGGGATTAGCAAAATGAAGTGATTTGAGACAAAGCTTCCCTCTCATCTCTGTGCTGGAGGCACGTACATGAAGGGCACCAGGCTTGGATACCTCATTTTCCCTCTTTCCAAACATCACTTGTTTTTGGTCTTATTTTGACACCATTTCTGTGCTGCTTCTAGGGCCACATTCAGAAGAGCTGGACTCTGATGACTTAGAAGAAGAAGAAGAATTTGAATTCTTAGACAGCGATGAAGAGTCTGCTTTAAAAGCTGATACTCAAGGAGATACAGCATCTTGGAATGAAACGGCTGGAAGTCTCCAATCATACATGAATGAAATGGATCATGAATTAGCATTCACCAGTATTGGCAAAAGTTTTACCAATCAGAAGAAAGGGGTATGTTTAACTTAGGCCACCTTTCTGGTGACTAAGAGGAAGGAATAGCCATTGGGTGACTTTTTTCTATAAGTCAGCTACAACATGAAATTACATAGCATATCTTTTTTGTTTGTTTGTTTTAGTCTAAAAGACATCTGAGTCCAGTGTTAACAAAAATTTCTTATATTTTCATTGTCCTTATTTAACATAGGTAAAATCCAGTAAAGTATTTTCACATGAAGACCCTAACACAGATTTAGAAGGCAGTCGGAGTAAAGAAGACCCTGATGTACCACCTGTGGACGTAGACTTGAACCTTGTGACTAACTTGCTGGAATCCTATAACGCTCAGGTTGGACTACCAGGACCTGTTTCTAACATTCTGCAAAGCATGGGAGTACATTTGCCAGAAAATACAGACCACAAACCTCACTAGCAGTTCATTGATGCAATAAACTGGTTTCCTAGTTTAAAGGATACCTTGCTAAGTAAAAGCATTATTCAAAAAACCCCTTTTTTAATTAAGTTCTCAGAAGATGCATTATGCAGGCAGATTTAAATCAATGGGAGTATCATCATCGGCTACTTAACCACCCTTGTGGAATCTGTTTTCTGAAACAAAAAATAATTGTAACGTGGTGAGAAAATGGACTCATGCAAATATTTTTGTAAGACATCTTATATTCGTTAAGATACTTGGAATTTTCTTGCAAATATCTTGAAACTTTTTTTTTTTTGAAACAGAGGAAATTTTATCTACAATGTTTAATAAACATTACAGAACTTTCTACACTGAGAATACCTTGAAGTGATATAAAACATAACAAAACAAGTGTATCACAAATAATTTAACAAATACTTAGAAAAGCAAGTGCATATTTTAAATCTCTGAAACACAATGCTCAGCATTCAGAAAGGGAAGGCCTGGATGTAGAGTTAAATATTTTACAGATGCCTCCAAATTAGCAAGAGGAGAGTATTCCTAATGGTAGCACCATCAGAAAAGACACCCTTGAAGATCTTAGTGACTGGCAAATTTCAGACACAGAACACTGATTTCATAGATAGAAGGCAGGCAGTATTGTTGCTTATAAAGTAATGAGGCAGCCAAAATGGAACAAAGATTTTTTTTCAATGTCTAAATACTGGTGGGTAACATAGTTAAGGTAATAGGCTACTGTTGCCATTACTTATTGAAACTGCAAAAAAAGGTGTGCTCTTTAATAAGCATTTTTGCCTCAGCTTCAGAGCTGAAACTGAATTTGCATATCAGCATTTTGGCTACAACTTACATAAAGATCAGGCCGAGTTTACTAAGGTTTCCAAACTAGATGTTGCATAAATTTTGCCAGGAATCCAATTATTATGTAAGGACTTCTTTTTCAAATCTTACAGATTGCCAAAGGGTTTTGTAATCTCTTCAGATGACAAAATTCAACAGGAATTCAAATGGCTTTTTACAGATGCTCAGTTAAATGTAAAAAGGCTTGTCCTGTTAAAGTTGTCTTTACATATATTCTGAATTGCAGTTGTCTAGCACAGGGGTCTCCAAACTCTACAGCTCATTGACCCGTTCATGAAGGTTATTCATCAACCCCTAAGCATTTATTATATGAAAATAATTTAATAAATGCTACTTTAACCAATAGTACTTGGATAGTCCCATTGACCACTTTGGGGAATCCTGATCTAGCATGTCTTTCATTTTCTCAACTCATTACCATTTGTATTGTTAAGGGAGTTGTTCCAACTGTGTTTTGTTTTGTTTTATTTGTTTATTTATTTAATTTTTCAACCACCCATCTCCCCCCAATGC